GTTCGAGTGTACACGTAGGATCCTGAGATAGTCATGAGTCATTAGGAATGGTATATCGGTACAATATGAAATTTGCAATATAATTACTGCATGTTACATAATGCAGTTATTTTAACACAACTAATACACAATAAGGCTCCTTGTACAGTAGTATACTAAATTGTACATAAGTAGTCGGTAGGTACATGAATATACTTGTTACAGTTAAGTGGCTATTTCCTCGGTTTGTTCATTATAGTATTGGACTTTACTGTATCTTTACGTCGCAGTGCCAGGACCTTGTTTCAAGTATAGTCTTTATGTGCTGAGGTTTTGGTTTAAGATTAGATAATGTCGATGTTAAAATAAAAGTGGGTAGTGTTGGTGTGAGTATCTTATGACCCTATCAGGTGTCGGTGGTATAGTGGGAGTTTGTCTTGCTGGTTGTTCTGATCTACATGAATGGCGTGATTGTGATGTTTAAGTCAGATCGTGTTATGTAGTGTAGGCGCTATGAAATTGTTCCACGGTTCCCAGGTCTTGGCGAATTTCATATAGTTCCCTGTTTTGGCATAAGTTAGTTCCTCCATCAGTTTAGTGTCCTCTACTATTAACTGAGAGGCTGCCATGGCTAAGTGGTTGAAGAGGGCTGTGTCTGTTTTCGAGAAGCCTTGTGGGGCTAGGAGAAAGATATAGTAGTCAGGAGTGATAGTGAATTTATTGTGGAAGACTGTTTGAATAATGGAGTGGATTCTATTCCAAAATTTGGCTATCATCGGGCATTGCCACCAGATATGAGCGTGGTGTGCTTCCTTCTGTTTGCACCTCCAGCAGAGGTCTACGAACGTGTTTTGAATTCTATGTATCTTTGCTGGTGTGAAATGCCAACGGGTAATACATTTATAATTACTCTCTTGTGCTGTTAGTGAGGTGGTAGATTTATGTGCATTTATAAGAATAGTTTGCCATTGTTGTTGGGTGATGTTTGTTTTGAGTTCCTTTGCCCATTTGGTAGTGTAGCTTGGGAGGTTTAATTCTTGTGATTCTCTGATCAGTGTATACATGGTAGAAAGGAATTTTTTTGTGATTGGGTGAGCGGTACATATGTGTTTGAACTTAGTTAATGGTCTTTCTCCTTTAAGCAACAGCTTTAGGCTTTTGATAAAGTGTAACAATTGGTGGTGGTGTAGTTGTTGGTTTCCGGTGTGTGTATGTGATGGTATGATTTGAGTTAGGCTTTTAATTTTCCCGTCTTGGATTACATCTCGTAGTTGCAGTGAGGAACCTTTATGATAGAGATCAAATGATCTCCCTGTGATCCCCTTTTGAAAATGGGGGTTGTGTGTGAGTGGGTACAATGGGGATGGGAATGGTGATAAATCTGTCATTTTCTGTAGTTTATGCCAAACTTTTAATGTTGTGTCAATGGTTGGGTGGGTCCTATAGTGCCTCAGTGGGGAATAAGTGAGGCTCTGTTGAAGCTAAGGGTAGATATTCAGGGATGTTTCTGAGATGGTATTTTCGAGGTTTACCCATTGTTGTATTTGTGTTTTTCATATATCCTATGCAGGTGAATTGCTTTGTGATAAATCTCAATGTCAGGGAGGTTTAATTCCCCCTGCTTCTTACTCTTAATTAGTGTTGAGTACGCTAATCGGATGGGTGTATTTGCCCACATGAATTTCGTGAATGTGGATCTAATTGTATCGAAGAATTTACTTGGGGTTGTGATAGGAAGTGTCTGAAGGAGATGGAGTATTCGGGGGAGGAGATTCATTTTTATTATATTTATTCTGCATAGCCACCCAAAGCAGGGCTTGTGCCATGTTAAGAGGTCTTTGGTTATGGTTGAGATTAGTGGGGGGAAATTTAAAAGATAGATGGAATCCAATCTGTTTGGGATGTGTACCCCTAAGTACTTGATAGACCTGGGAGCCCATGTAAAGTTAACTTATTCTGTAGGGATATATCGAGGGACCTCGATGTGTAGATTGGAAGAAGGTCATATTTGGTTAAATTGGCCTGAAAGTTAGAAACTTTGCTATATGTCTCCATTTTTGTTAAGATAGAGGCTATTGTAGAAGATGGGTTTGAGATCGTAAATAGGAGGTCATCAGCAAAGGCTGTGACCTTGTATTCGTACGCGTTGATTCTGAATCCCTGGATATTTTCATTATCCCTAATCCCCTGAAGAAAGGGTTCCAGAACTAATATGAAAAGGATAGGTGAAAGAGGGCATCCCTGTCTTGTTCCGTTGGTGATGGTTACTGGTTGTGATAGTTGGCCATTAATTCTTAAGCGGGCCGTCGGCAGTGAGTATATGGTGTTTATCCAATCCTGCCAACGTGGGCCAAAACCCAGTTGTTGTATTGTGTGTTTTAGTAGTGCCCAATTAACCCTATTAAAATGCTTTTTCAGCATCGATGGCCAAAAGGGTGCTGTGAATTTTGTGAGTGTGGGCCCAGTGAATGAGGTTTATGATTTTTGTGGTGTTGTTTTTGGCTTCTCTGCATGGAATGAAGACTGCTTGATCTTGGTGGATAAGGCCTGGTAAAAGTGGTTTTAATCTCATGGCCATAATTTTTGTGAGGATTTTCAAATTGGTATTTATGAGTGAGATTGGCCTATAACTGCAACATGAAGTGGGATCTTTTCCTCGTTTTGGTATTAACGTGATGGTCGCCTCCAGTGCCGATTTGGGTATGCAGGTTGCTAATTTCTGAGTGTTGAAGCCGTTGGTAAAGGGTTGAGCTAATATTTGGGACATTAATTTATAGTATTTCCCTGTGTACCCATCCGGACCCGGACTTTTACCCAGAGGGATAGTTTTAATAGTGTGTTGGAATTCATCTAGCATAATGGGTTCATCTAGGAACGCTGTGTCGTTGGGTGGGAGGGTGTGTTTGATCCTAGGTTTCAGAAACTCCAGGATGTCTTGTGTGGTTGGTTGTGAGTTCATTAAATTGTATAAATGTGTGTAGAATTTATGAAATGCCTTGATCATCCAATTTAATTTCTGAAATGAAGGATGATTGTCTTTCCTTCTGCAGCGATTTAGCCAGGATTTTCCCTGCTTCCTTCCTTGAGTGTAGTATGTATTTTTGGTGAGTGATTTTACGTTTGGCATGCAGAGTCAAGAGGGTTGTTAATTCGGTTCTTTTAGTGATTAATAGTTTGTAGTCCTCTAAAGAGAGGGTGTTGTGGCGCTTGCTTTCTAGAGATTTATTATCTTTAGTAAGTTGAGAGACCTTTTGTTCTCTCTTAAGTTTCAGTGTTGAGGCTATGCGGATTAATTCACCTCTGAGGACTGCTTTATGGGCTTTCCATGTCATGATTGGTGTTATGTCCCGTTGGGTGTTCTCTTTGAAGTAGTTTGTGGCCGTCTCTCGAATTTGGTTAATAGCTTCTGAGTTGTTTAAAATCAGGTCATTGAGTTTCCATTGTTATGCGGGGGTGGGAAGGGTGGGAATGATCAAAGTTAGTGTTAGCGGTGCATGATCCGACTAAGGTATTGGGCCGTAAGAGGCTGAGTTTATTAGAGAAAGGTATCTATGTTGTAGGAAAAGGGAGTCAATGCGGGAGTATGTTCCTGTGGGGGGCAAGTAGAACGAATAGTCTTTCTTTGTAGGGTGAATAGCTCTCCAGCTATCATATATTTGGGCATCGTGCAGGGTGTTTTTCATTTGCGATCGTGTTTGCGATGTGGTGGTGGTGTCTAGGTTTCCATCCAGGCATATATTAAGATCACCTCCCAATATCAGTATTCCCTCTTGGAAAGTTGAGAGTTTGTGTAGGATTTTCTTGAGAGCCTGTGTTTGTTTCTGATAGGGTAGGAGATATTGGCCAGGGTAATATGAGTGTTAACTATTTTCCCTTTAATAAATATAAATCTGCCCGAGTCATCCGTTAGTTGGCCCTGAAATGTAAATTGTGTCTGCTGTCCTATGAGTATGGATACCACCCTTGCCTTAATTTCCGTGTAGTGACTAAAGTATCCCCTTGGGAAATCCCTGTTTTGTAGTTTAGGAGGTTTATCTTTGCGGAAATTAGATTCCTGAATGAAAACAATCTGTGCTTTGTATCTACGGAAGTCTGAAAATGCCATTGTTCTTTTTTCTGGGATATTTAGGCCCTTTGCATTTTGTGTGTGTATTTGGTGAAGGTATGTTGAGATATGCTATGTGGTAAGTTTGTTGACTTTTCTCCCTTTTCGTTTGGTACTTGCGCATTCAGCAGGTTGTTTCCAGATTGCTAGTTTCGTGAACGTTGGTGAACGTTGGTGAGTTGTCCCGTGCAGGTGTTAATTTGGATAGTTCAAGTGTGCGGAGGAAGGAGACATGAGAGTGTCAGAGTCCTTTTCATTGGTATATTCAACTGTGGTATATTTTTATGGATAAAGTCCTTATTCCGAGGAGTTAGGTCTTTGGTGGATATGATTACCAGGTGGACCTTCTTGTCTACAGTGATGGGAGCCGGTGGTCGTTCCGACTTTTTTTAGGGGAGTGTTCCACTTCTGATGTTGGGATGCCTGTATATTTTCTTGGTTGGACGAGGGATAGTTCCAGTCCATGATTGGGGTGTCTGGGAGATCCAAAGCCTTTAGGAATGAAGTGTAGAGGTGACTGAAAGGGTATTGCCTTTGTTGTTCACGATAAGGGCGAAGGGGAACCCCTAACTGTATTTGATATTTCTATTTCTGAGTAATTCTGTGATGGGCTTAAGGGCTCTTCTTGCTTGCAGGGTGTACCAAGAGAGATCTGGGTAAACTTGTATTGGAGTGCCGTGGAACAATAGTGGTTGAGAGGTGTCTCTTAATGCTCATAGTATGTTGTCCTTAACAGTAAAATAGTGAAGTCTGCAGATGATATCTCTTGGGGAGTCCTAGTATAACCCTCTTGAGCGCAGAGAGCAGTGAGCTCTGTCCAGGAGTATTTGGTTCTCGCTTGACTCTTCCAGGATTGCATTAAAGAGTTCTGCAAGTATTGCTGTTAGATCTTCATTTTGGGTCTCCAGTACCCCCCTTATGCGCAGGTTGTTTCTGCGTCCGCGGTTGTCAGGTCATCAATATGTCTCTGAGTAGCTGACATGAACTGTATATAAGATTCCATTGTTGAGGATATATTAGTGATATGGGCTTGTATAACATCTCTCTCCTCCTCTAGGTCATTAACTCTGAGGTTAAGTTGCCGGACGTCTGAGCCCATCGCTTCCATCCTGGAGTGGAATATTGCTTCCAACTTACTCATCATGTGTTGCAGGTCGGATTTCAAGGGTAAGTTTTTTAATATTTCTTTAATGTCTGGATCTGTGTTGTTGTCCATTGATTTTAAAGAGCATTCAGATATTTGAGGGCTTTGTGGCTGCATATTAGAGCCAGGATCCATCTCTGCCATCTTGGGGGTCGCGGCCATGGCCTCCACCTCGCGGTCAGAGTTCTCTTTGAATACTGGGTAAGGGAGCCAGATTTAGTGTTAGGGGTTTTCCCTGATTACCCTTGAACGTGCTGCTGTTGGGGGTTGCCCATGGTGGGAGAAGCTCTCCGATTGCTGTGGATTGTGCCCGGGTCTGGAGGAGCAGAGTTAGAATGTGTCCATTAAGCTCCATGGCTAGCCAAGCCCCCTTGATGTCTGTGTTCTATCTGGATTTCCTTCCATCTCTTCAGATACATTATATGCTGGATGTATTTTTATATGCATTACTATTTGCACTTATTTTGAGCCCTGTAGGCTTCCTTACTTTGAACCAAGGACTTACTTATGCTTTTCATCAATACTGGAATGCTATTGTGCATTACCGAAGGTGGAACACAAAATAGCCGCCATTTGGAACGCATACGTCACCCGGAAGTACAAACAGGAAGTGACATACCAGACGTGACGTCACACGGATCTGATACCCACAAAAATCAACTGAGGAATCCCTTGAAACAGCTGGACAGTGAGGACAACGCCCTGTGATCCTTGTCTACAGGTAGCACGGTCCTCTAGGGTAAACAACAGGCAGAGTCCTTTGGTTTGCATATAATCCAGGCAGTTTTATTGTTAAACTCCACCACAGCTACAGCAGCAAATAAAAAAAACAACAACACAAATCCCTATAAACAAAAGCCTAGCTCGTCTGAGCACTAACTAATATCAGACTCCCTCTCTCAGGGTTTAAACTAGAACAAAATAATATTTGTGTTAACCAACCTAGTGCCTTTGTCAGATCTCTGCACTCTACACTCGGTTAGCATGTGGCTTCCATTCCTTCTAGAAATAAACAAATTCTCTCTCTTTTCCACACTCCCAGTGCTCCAAGCCAGCCTTGACTGCTTTCCTTTTGCACTCCCAGTGCTCAGTCTCCTTGACACTCTCACTGGAGAGAACAGCCTCTCTCCAACCTGCTTCCAGGGAGGAAGCCAGCAATTCTCCCTTTACCTGCATAGCAGGGAGGGGTTTATTCCCACTGCTACAGCTGATTATCTGCAGCTGAGCAGTGGGTTGGAGACAGTTCCAAAAAACTCTTGCCTGGACCTGATTTCTCCCAGTTGTGTATAAACTGAGGAGTGGAGCATTGGCCCACCCTGCTCTCCAAATGCTCCACCCCAGGGGCCCATAACTAAACTTAGTTTTGTGTTGCACACCACACATACAACATGTACTTCCCCTGGGGTTAAATGTTAAAGGCCTCTCTGCCTTCACTTTATCACAGCCCCTATACCACCAATAGGAGGAAAAGACAGCCACATATAAGGAAGGACTGTGGAGGGAAGGGTTATGCTGCTATTTTGTCCTTTTGTTAGGATATTTTTATATATACAATTTGTTCTTATTTACTGAGTCCCTGAAGAAGTCTTTTGCTAGAAGAAACATGTTGGACCAAATTTGCTTTTTTATGTTTTAAATCTATTAAATAAAGCAGATTATTTTTAACCACTTCCTGAGTCCGGACTTCCACATTGTGGCGATACCATCAACCAGCTGAGATTGAGTTCTGGAAATACAGCTTGTGAGTTCCATTTATATTTGCGCAGTTTCAACGTTTATTTGCAGTATTATACTATTGTGTTGTGTTTGTTTCTGTAGATTATCAGCTATACTCCTCTGCCATCTATATATACGGTAGCAATGACATATGGTGTAAATATGAACATTAAAGATAGGTATGTGAATAGAATAAGAGATCTCAAGATAAGCTGCACTTTTTTTTTTTTTTTTAAAGAATAAAACATGGTAAGGCTGACATAAGTTTAGCTCCAAAGCAAGATTAAGTAGATTGCAGATTATCCACTTAAATAACCAAAAACAGAGGATAGCAGTAAAATAATGTTAAGTCACAAAATAATGTTAAGTCACATAAGGTACTGAGTGAACAGAACTAAAGTAAACATGCTCAGTTGCTAAAACAGGGTTGAGTGGGTAGTGCATCAGGAGGTATCCATTTTGCACGTGGGGGATGTCTTTTCCTCTGCCCGTTCTCCGAGCTGGCACAATAACTCAGTGTCAGGATCGAGAAAGGGATCCAACATGCAGAGTACTTACAAATATAAAGACGTATACCGGACCTTAGAGTGGCCGGACTAACATCACACAAACAAAGAATGGTCAGGAACAAGCCGAGGTCGAGGGAATGAGAAGACAGGTAAGCGAAAGCCAAGCCGAGTACAAGGGTAGGAGAAAGTAGCAAAGTCAGAATACAAAGCCAATGTCAATAATCAAAATCAATCACAGAAATAGCACTGAGGGAACAGACAAGCTGGAACCACGACAGGGCAATGACTCACTGCAAGTGAGTACCTTTTATACCTTGGCTCTTTAATTGATGTCCACGCCCCCAAAACGTCCTGGTTTAAACTTTTCGGCAGGCCGTGACGTCATGACATCGGCGAAGTTGTGCCTCGTTATAAAAGGGGGCGGGGTTATCGCAGACGGCATCTAAACGGCCAAAATGGCTGAAGAAGATGGGTGCCTGTGTGCCTTCCTGAGATTGGGCGTCCAGATGCCCAACCTCCTCTACAGTGGCTACAACAGGTACCATGACACTCAAAAGGTTTCCACCAAGGCAGCCTGTGATAAGGTGCATATTAGTGGCTCTACTCTGACCTCTTCCTCATGCCTCTCCTATAAGTGGCTCCAAAAGGCAGCGCACACCTGGTTGAATTAGACCAGCAAATCATCAGGAGACATCTTGGCCTTGCAGTATCCGTTGTAGAGGTATAGTGTGGGACCAAATGCTTGTTTGCCAGGACCCAGGTGCGTAGAGCTGAGTGCTGTTCAGAACCGGTCCAGAGGGGGAGATGAGCAACCCAAACTGTGGTTGATTTTTCTGTGTGGTAGGACCAGCCACGTCTCCCAACCAAGCACATATGAGAGAAAGTCTCAGGCTCAATAGAACACCCGTGGAGATCAGAAAGTGGTTTCAGGAGTCGATACAGCTTGCTCTACCATATATCATGAAGCATCAGATTAGCTGAAATTCAGGGTTTTCATGCAAAAATCTTACATTTAGTTGAGGAACTCTCACAATCTGCATCCTTCTTGTGGGGCACTCAGGCTCTGCCCCAACTGAATGAGATTTTATCATCACTAAATGGAGATGTACATGGGAGAAGCAATTGCTGTTCAGGAGTGTAACAAGAAATGTATTTGAGATAAAAGATACAATGAACCCTATGTGTAGCCATAACTATTGCTGTAACCCTAGTCCTAACCCTAGTTTAAGAAAAAAATGTTATAGAATATACATAATGGCAGAGTCGATCTTGGGTGGGTGCAGACTGACCAGGTTCTCTAGAGATAGGTGGGGTGTACAGCACTATGTGCCACACCATCGGGTAGGACCCACCCCCCCTTGATAGGCCTTTCCTTGTGAATGGCACCAGGTGGCAAAGCTGTGAGGAAAAGGTTACAAGCTGACAAGCTGTTTGAGGACAACTTAAGGGGGTGTTTGAGGGGGTGGGCCTAATGAGAGGGGTGGGCCTACATGAAGAAGAGTATCCTAGCGCTGCACACCCCACCTATCTACAGAGCACATAGGTGGTCTTCACCCACCCACAATCAGCTCTGCATAATAGGGAAGTCATGCTAATGGACAATAATGCCATCTCAGGGTCTGAAGACATTTATCAGCTACATCCATCTTGTGATTTATTATGATGATCTCATAATTCCTTGTTTCCATTATTACTTAAAAGGCACACTTCATAAACTTTTTATATATACATGGAGACAAACGAATATTTTTCTTTAAGTTTTTATCCATTTGTCATGTAATTGATTTAAGATGATTACATGCACTGAGTGCAATGTTCATTTCTAAACTGAGATTTTGCAATGATCTAAATGTACACAATGCTCCATTTTTTTGAGACTAGTGAGCTTGGTACAAGCATTTGTTATATCCAGAGCTAAGCACTATTTTGTTTACATTTCTAGACAGAGATTTCAGAAAATTCTTGCCTTGCATTTTGGGTCATTTTCCCTCTTTTTCTTCAACAGGGTTAAGAAAGTATTCTTCATTTCATTGTGTTTCTTGATTATTTTGGAAAAATACAATCACTGCAGTGTTGTGCTTGCCTCTCTTGAAAGCAAAGTGTAGCGTTATCAAGCAGAACTGTAGTTAGCACACACTCTGCAATTTCAATTGTATTCTAAAGAGCCTGGTTGCCAACTACGAGAGGCGTTATAATCACTTTGCTAAATAGCTTCTCAGGAAAAAAAAAATCCCACACGTAATACATAGCCTTTCTGCCTCTGTGATTTTTCACCCTTTTCTAAGTGGCTGTTGAAAAAAAGAAAGCATTACATGTTTGACATTTTATAATCAAATGAAACTTACCTCGTACCATGTATCAACAAATAACTCAGTTGAATTAAAAACTTTAAATTCACAGGTCATCTATTTGCCAGGGACAACTTAAGATGCAAACAGTTTGTAATATAATGTCTGTTAAGCTTACTAGCATCAACACCATCAATGCAAAAGGTACACTTAAAAAAAAGAAAATCTAACAATCTTTTTTTTAATTTTTACTGGTTATTTAAAAAACAAGGTCACAATTCTTTCTCATAGTAACCTGCTCTCCCCATGATTCGTAAAGATCATCAATCATATTCTACATATTCCAAATCTTTCACTCTTTTTCACGAGCTATACCTTATAATTTTTGGGTGTTATCTCTTGATATTATCCATCCATTTTCCAATATAATGTTGTCCTATTATTTCACATACCATAAAATGTACCTTATCCTTCTCATATCCTTATCATCACATCCAAGTAGTGCAAAAATACAAGAATAACAGGTGGTCTGCATGCTATCCTATTCTTGGTGGTGTAAAGTAAGAGATAAATCTATGAAAGATAATTCATATAGCTTTTCTCACCTCCTTTTATAGACCACTATTCCAATAAAGCTGGTATAAGCAAA